CTATTGTAGATCCCCGAGCCCATCAACAACCTTGGTGCAAGCAACTGGAATGTTCTTGCGATGATTACCTTTGAACAGGATGGTCTTTTGGAGTCTGGAGGTGTTTTCTCATTCTGCCCTCAGTGATTTGGAGGATTGTGGAGGATCTGATTGTGGTCCGTCCAAGTGTCTACACTGTATAACGTATAATACACCATAATCGTTAATGAGAATCCTGAGTGATTAGCCTTCTTTTTTGCTGACCAAATAACAAGTGGGTTGCTCCTTGCTAAAAGTTGCTACGTTAATGGTTCGATGCATTTGAAGGAATTATGCTAACGTGAAAATAATAATTTATAATAATTGGGTTCATCGTGATTACGTTGCTTGATCCTTATTTGACCGGCTCTTTTCGGCTGTTCAAGCTGCTCAAGCCCCGGCACCCACATGTACTTAGTCCACCTGAGTGGAGCACTTTCTGGGGCAGCGTATCGATACGCAACTTCCTGTCATGTAAGTGCAGTTCCTTCGAATTACCGGTTTTTGTCGTAGTTTGTAAGTATACAGCCGTCAAACAGTCATCTCGGCCTCGTTCCTGTATGCCGAAGGCAATGGCCCACATCTTCTATAAAAATGAGCTTCCAAGTCCGGCACCAAAAATTAATTTCCGACAGGATATTATCAAGTCATTGGGATTTGCCTGCGTGTGTTTGAATCGTGCAAATGATGATGCTACGAAAGTGTGTTAGGGTTTTCTGGAATCTGCGCCTTGAAAAATTTGCGGTGTATTTTCCAACATTTGCGCTTGTTTGATTCCGGTGCCAATGCCACTTGTGCACGTGTCGAGCGACTCCATTGTTCGCGTCTTTCTTTACATGCGACTCTGACGACCAGCGCGACACCTTTACCATGACGAGCAACGGACCAGCAAAAGAGAGGGAAAAAGAAAAGCCTTTTACAACGTCTCTACGTTCCAGGACTATTCTTGAACGGTCTACTCGGACACCTTCCAGCTCGACTTCAGGCTACAGAACAGCCAGTACACTCGGAGTAAAACGCGATTCAGCGCAGGCAGAATTGGAACAACAGGGTGCGTGCTTCTTTTTTCTACCATAGTCCAGTAAACTGATTATACAAGAATACAACACTACAGATGCCATCCTTGCAACAAAACGCCAACTCCAATCCACCCTTTCCGCCTCTTCCCTTGAGCGCCAGCTCGCCCTAGCCCAAACACGTATTACGGCCATGCAAAAAACGCTTTCTGAGAAGGATGCGAAGATTACATTATTGGAACAGGATAGACGGTATCTGTCTGGTTTGAACGAGTCGCAGACGAGTTCTCGTGAAGAGGTGGAGAAAAAGTTGAGCGAGGATATCGAGAAACTACGTGCACAAGTCAGGGTTCTACGCGAGGGGAAAGCGAATGAGGAGAAAGAAAAGGAAGAGTGGAGGGAGAGAGCGGAAAAGGGCGAGAGGGAATTGAGGCAGAGGAGAGGAGACTGTGAGAGGTTGACGAGAGAAGTCGGAGGGTTGAAGGGAAGGGTGAGGGAGTTGGAGAAGGAGGCAGCACAGACTGCTTCACGTGCTGCTACGAGTTTCAGCTCTCCAGCCCCGCCTTCGTCGTCGTCTAGGTCTTCTCCCAACGAGAGTCAACTTTCTGACGGCTCGCCCGCTCCAGGCGACCGTACTCTCAACTCTCAAAGTATTCTGAAATCAGAACTGTCTCATCAGGCGGGGTATTTGAGGACTCTAGAGTCGACAAATACAAAACTTCAGGCAGAGGTGGTGTTGTTAAGAGAAGAGGTCAAAGGGATGAAAGAGAGGTGAGTCTGCGTGTTCTTTCTCTTCACTTTGCTAATCGGTATGGTAGAAACCAACAAACACCCAGTATATGGAAAGAACTGTCCGTCTTGCGCGAGGAAAAGAGAGGTTTAGAGGGGAAGCTGAAAAGGAGAGAAGAAGAAATCGAAAAGTTGGTCAGGGAAGGCGAAAGGTCGGTTTTCTCCTTCGTCACCTTTCTCTTTCATGCTCTTTTGGTGTGGCACACTTTGTCTCGTGCCTTAGAGTCAAAGCCTCTGCGGTGTCACGAGCATCGAATGAGTGTGTAGCCACCTTGCTTGACTCTTTCTCTCTTGCCCTCTGCTTTCACTACGCGACACGACAAAACGCGCCTACTCTTTTTCCATCCGCTTTTTTGCTCCTGTTTTGTTGTCCTTCTGCTTTCCTGTCCTCTCACCTCGAGCGTTATTACTGACTGTACCTTCTCTATACTCTCTTCCTCTAATTTCTCCTCATCTCACAATGAACCGAAACGTTCTTCCAATTCTCAACCCGCCTACTACGCCTGCCACCATCACTTTTGCTACGCTCTTCCCTTCTAACAACTGTCCTCGCCGCCATCCCATTCGTCTACGTCGCGCTGGTGAATCCAATATTCACAATGAACAACAATGATAACAATACCAACAACGCGCCTCAACCCAATTTCGGTTCCGGACACGTATGCTAATGATATACATACACATCCCACTCGACGTGTACATGGGCTCGGACATATTCGTCCTGGACCACCACGTCCCTCTATCGTGACGTCTACGTCTATGTCGCGGGATCTACCTGAACCTGAATCTACATCTGGCACTGTTTCTGCCTTAATGTTGTCGTTCTTGCCGTCGTCCAAACCCAAATCTAACTTTGCGTCGAATTCTTCATCCGGGTCTGCGTCTGCCTCGTCCCCATCATCATCTTCCTTTCGTCCCGAAATCGTAACCAAAACCCTCATGCCCACCGCCGACAATCCACCTCGACGCGTCATATGAAATATACAGTGTTGCGTTGAGAACTAGTACGAGTTCTCTATCCTCTTCTTTAAGAGGATCTGCCGTTGGTTCTGGAACGGGAATGGGTGCTTCAAGGTTGGGAGCGTCAACTTCAACAACGACTGCACCAACACCTACTACAAGCCGTACCCAAGGAAGTTCGTTGATGGCGAGAAGTATGAGGAGTAGGCTTGGGAAGAGTATGGCTGAGACGCCTGTGAAAGGGAGAGTTTCTATGTCTACTTCCGGGTCTGCATCTGGGTTGGGGTTGGGAACCTCTACTAGAAGAGGTACAGATGAGATGACGCTTGATGAGCTGGAGCCGGCGTCGAGGAGTAGAAGAGGACACGAAGGAAGGAACCCAATGGCTGCGTCTACATCTGCTTTCGGCCTTAGTTCCGGTTCTTCGAGTGTGGATGCAGAGATGGCTTCTGTTGCCGAGGAGGGAGAAGACGAAATTGAAGAAGGCGATGAAGCGATGATGGAAGGAGAGGAGGAAGAAGCTTACGAAGATCCACCCTCGATCCACATTACAGCAGATGTCCTTGCTCTCCGTGTTGCTCATGCCAAGTTGTTGGATGAACATGGACAGCTTAAAGCCGAGTTGGAGGGGCTGAAGAGACGGTGTCGGTGTGGGTCCGAGTCTGCAGTGGGCCGAGGATCTAGCAAGGCAGGAGGAAGGGAGGAAGATGATTATGAGAGAAGGGAGAAAGAAAAAGATGAGATTCTCGACTTGAAAGTCAAGTTGAGGACAGTGGAGGATGAAGCAGAGGGCGCCAAGAGAGAGTTGGCGTTTTTGACGCAGGTTTTGGTGAGTTGCTCGTTGTTGAGCTTCTCCTGTATTCTGACTAGCTTGTATCATAGGCCAAATACGACGCTGACGAAAAAGCAAAACGTGCTAGTACCACTACCACACCACCTCCATCAGCACCTACACCCGAAGCCCTCGACGACCTAACCACAGCCCGATTAGACCAACTCAACCAACTCGAATCCCTCTACACACAAACCAAATCCTCTAATTCGATCCTACGCTCCGAAATTCAATCTCTCCAAACTAAACTCTCTACCGCCCATGCCTCGGTATCATCTCTAACCGAAACCAACTCATCTCTCCAATCTCAACTATCCACACTCGAGTCCTCCGTTGCTTCAAAAGAAGAAGCAGCCCGAAGCGAATCCAAAGCCGCTCTAGCTCGGTCCGAAGCCGAGTTGGAGAAGCACGTCAAGAGGATTGACGATCTCGAGCAAGAGTTGTTTGAGCTTAGTGGAGAGGTGGCTGCAGGGAGGCATGTCCCTCCCGGAAAGAGGGTTTTGGAAATGAAGGAGAATCCAGAGAGAGAGTGGTTTGATTCGAGGAGGCAGGTTGTTGAGACGCTCAAAAAAGAGAATGAGGGGCTTGTCAAGCGGTTGGGGGTGTTAGAAAAACAGGTCCAGGTACTAACAGCTTCCGGAGGGGATGCTGCTGTTGCTGTAGGAGACGAGGAAGAAGCAGACCCTCTAATCCCCCGTTCGAGTCTGGATACAGTTTTACTGGAAAAAGCAGACCTCGCCGAACGGCTGGAGATTGCAGAGAAACGGAATGCACGTCTACAGAAAATCTATAAGGCGAAAACAGACGAGTTTAAAGCTTGCTTGGCTTCAATCCTGGGTGTCAAGTTGGCATTTTATGACAGTGGACAATTACGTGTAACGTCAGTGTTTGATCTTGACACTCAGCTAATGTTTGCTCCCCCGGAAGACGATGGAAAGGGAAAGAAGAAAAAGGTCTTGTTGGATGAAAAAGATCTCGAGGGTGGAATGAGGGAGATGAAGCTTGTTTCTGTAGGTGAAGGTACGGTTGGGGGAAAAGGAAAGGAGGCGAAAGAAAGGGAGGAGGATTTGAAGAATATGATTAATTATTGGGTAAAGAGGGAACAGTGTATGCCAGGTTTGATGGCTTCGGTAACATTGGAGGCTATCGAGAAGATGAAGAGGGAAGGGAGGACGATGGGAAATTGGGGCATGAAGATTACGGCGGATTGATTGGTTCTCGTTTCTTGTTGCTTTGAATATCTTTTGTAAATTAGAGGGTTGGAGTCATTGAACCATTTCTCCGATCAATCTGCTTCATCATAGTATGCTTGACATTGGCTTAACGGCAACTTGGTCAAAGAAACTAACAAACGTGATGAAAAATGGACGACGTTACAGTGTTATCGTCACCTGTGCGATTCGAACACACGCGGGCAAAGCCCAACCGCTTGGCTGCTTATATAAGTAGCAGGCGATCCCGTTAACCACTCCGGCAAAGTGACCACACCCTTGACTTTGAACCGCAGGAATACACTCCGTGATCTCCCTTCTTTCTTCCCCCTTCTGCCAGCGTCACGCATCGTTACATTTAACGTTTGACCACAATTGACTCATGTTTGAATCAATACTATCTATAATGTAGAACATTACAGATGTGTCAATTCGGGATGCTGTTTCTTATTTCCATACGCAGTGGTCCCGGGGCCCCTCCAAAATTGAATATGAATAGTCTTCTCTCCATGTCGTAATGCTGGTACCCATTACACGTTTGCCGTGACAAGTAAAACAGATGTCAGCAAGCTGTTAGAAACATTATTGGCAGCCTCTGTTAATTTATCAAGGAAAGAAGGACGAGCAGCGTAAGCTTTAACCCTTGATTTGTACATCCAGCCATGCTCATCCTGAAGTAATGTGCCTCAACCAGAGAGTCTGTATTGTACATCGTCTAGTTGTTTTGCCTTCGGGCGCATTCGTGTTGACGGTACCATGTGAAAAGTCATTAAAGCTTGTCATAGCTCTTTATTTAAGACAGAATCACTGGCAACAGGAAGAGTGGTAATTGAGCTATAAACAGCATTTGAGAGTTTCTGTTCACGATAGACATAGTTGATTCGACCGCCTGAGTAGCTCCAAGTAGTTCCGGAACACCGACTTTGATCTCTAGCCTAATATTAGCGCCAATAGTCGACTCAAAAATTTCTTTCACAATGAATTTCAGCAATATATTGCCACAGATGTATCAGTTGTAGTTCGCGCTAGGGTTACTGAAAAACCTTGATCGACCTGCAGGTTAAGTGTCTTACTAGTCCCAACCAAGGCTTCTTCAACCGGAATGATATTGTTGACTAGATAAGCGTGCCAGTGGACGACAGCCTTGCTACGCTTCGCGGCGACCCACTTCCTTTCACAGAAAATGTGATCTACGGTACATTCCATGTACTTTTTGGCATCTGCATGAGGGCAGCTGTCTTTGTTTCCTGAAACACGTACCAATCCTCGTAAGTATTTGGCTTGGCAGCTTGATTTCGCAGAATGGCTTAGGTATCTCACGAGAGGAAAAAGCTTGTAAACCACTTCACTATGGTGAGATGGCCGAGCGGTCTAAGGCGCCAGACTAAGGACCAGGACAGCTGATGTCCGAGATATCTGGTCCGAAAGGGCGTGGGTTCGAATCCCACTCTCATCATCATTTTTATCTTTTATCTCACTGCGTGGTACTTGGATGAGTTGGACCCGAAGCCATCTCCTCGGAACCTTTTTTTTCGGTTCAGACTCCGCGGCACGACGGATGCAGATTGAATAGTCTTTAAGTCTCGTGCCCATCTTCGCTTTTCCTAGGCTTCCTAGAAATGTCTGTAGTTGTACAGTGATCAGTTTGTGATTTTCGAAGCGAGATTTAACTGTTTCTACATCGTGACTAAAGACTTATAATAATCTCATAAGATGGACGCCACATCATCAACTTACCATTCTCACGTTGGCTACCAAAGAGTCTCGAACGACCGTTAGTTATAAGCTCGACGATATTAACTATGAGCTTTTGCATCAAAAATTTATGAATGAATATTCAAAGCAGCCACGAGCATATCAAACACGACGCATCCATTTCTCGATTTATTGCGAGGCGACCAAAGGGAAATACTCGACCTTGCTCAACCCAGTCGGCTTATTTGATCGGCTTGTGCCCGTTTGATACGTGTGATTGGTATTTTTCGATTCTTAATCGGTCTCTATGGGCGCCAAAGCGACGGCCTTCTTCTTTCATGGTGGTGGAGCTCTTCGGAGGCTCTGGCTCCGATCCCAATCATGTTAACTTCCAGGTTCCCCGTGCTATAGCACTGTTTTCACGACGGTTAGACCTCCCCGTTTTGTATAAATCGCTCGAGACCGAAGTTCCACTTCCGACAATCTCATTGAGCGCTTGGAATGATGCAAGTGGTGATTAGGATCTGCATTCACTCTTAAGTTTCATCCTCAACATGTGGAAAGCGGTGATCTCGATACTCGATACTGTGTGGAAGTACAAAAGGTGAAGGTCTCAGTTTTGACTATTACCAGTCCAGTCCACTTTCTGAGTTCGACTTTACGACCAAATTATTAACCATGCGCTTCACTCTCTCAACCCTCGTCTCCACCATTGCTGCCGCCGCTAGCCTTGTCGGTGCCTCGCAGATCGCTGCTCGTCAGCAAGCTGCACAATTCGGTGATGTATCTGTTACTCCCTGTCCCTTTACTGGTGGCCAGGTGAGCAAAAACCTCATGTATTCGTATCTTTTCAACTTTATGTTGATCTCCTTTACTTACTAGGATGTCACAATCACCTACAACGCTACAACCGCTGCAGCTGCAGGCCACCAGCCCCAGTTCCTCGACTTTTTCATCCAAGGAGCATTCTCCGATACCGGCAACCCGACTCCTAGAATCTTGCTCCAAAGAAATGATTTTGGTGCCGACCAGGTCACTTTCACCCTCGATACTACGGTAATTGCAATTACCTATATTGTGAATCAATACTTAATCAAAATGCTATTATAGATCCCAGAGCCAATTAATAATCTCGGTGCAAGCAACTGGAATGTTCTCGCGATGATTACATTTGAACAGGATGGTCTTTTGGAGTCTGGAGGTATTTTCTCATCCTGTCCTCAGTGATGGAGTACATTGTAGGGGGTCAATTGCGACTGGTTTAGGTTTTTACGTTCACAGTATACACTAGACCGTAGGCTCTGCTAATAGGAAAGATCTTTGAATCGAGTAACGACCGAATTTGAATATTGATCACAACGCCGAGACTGCATCTATGAGCCAAGATTGATTTCTTTCCTTTCATTCCATCCTTGGCTGACGGCCGAGGCTACTTATATGAACTTTCTGTTCCATTTGTAATCATCGTGGTGACTGTGGACTCGATCAATTTCGTCCTACACAGCCATGATCCTCTTCTCTAACCTCTCATAGGATAACCCATTCCGAAATATTGAAATTTCGTGTAGTTGCAGCATAGCCAAATAGCTACAGTCTAATTTTGAGATTATAGAATATAATATAACTCACCTATAAAACTATAGCTTCGCTTTGTGCTGTTGTATCTTTCCTTTGCAACTTGAAATTAAGTTTTTTCCCCTTTTCGTCTCGGTTATTTCCAAGTTGATTGTGGTAAGAGTTACCAACGATGGCCTATCTCTATCCATGGCCATGGACCGGAAAACTATTATATTATGTATCGTATCTACGAGGCCGAATATGAGGACTCATCTCGAGTCGTCTAGCCGGGAGTTACTAGTTAACCCATATAGAGATCAGAAATGGGGACAGGTTTTCCGTACTGCCGCTAGTGCCGGTAACATGTGCCTTGCCACATTGACGTCGTGACGACCCCATGGCTCTGAGCTGCTGCCCATACCGATTTGGCAGATAGACGCATTTATCTCACCTAAACTTTAACTCAATATACTACTCTCGGCCTCGTACATGCCGCGCAAAGAGACAGCCTCTCCTTTATATTTTCGAGTGACAGCGGATAGTTTATTCATTGATGTGGGTCTTTCAAGGCACTCGAAACAGTGAGACAATAATCACGTTTAGCAAAATCTCGACATTTTATACGTACCTCATATTTTTAAGATTATGGCTTCGCTCCGTAATGTTGTGTTCGCCCACTGCGTGTTTAAATAATTAAATATCAAAATTTCCTTCCGGCTTGATTACCAATCTCCATTGAAACCTGCTGAAGAGGAAGTTTTTTAGATACAGATATTGCTGATGCAGGTCATGAGCATAATATAGCTTGGAGTAAATGAACAGTATCATTAGAGTTGATAGCAAAGAGAATTTTTGGCACCTCATTATAAATTAATTCTTTGAGATTTAGGTTCATTGAGATGTCATAATCAAGACCTCAAGCTGTCACTGTTGCCTACCACTTCATTATTAGTTATCTTATAATGAAATTTTCATAGTAGAATTCAAATATTCTCAGGTGTTATGTTTTACATGTTTCAGTATCACAAAGAAATCAAGCATCAAAAGGGTTACACATAATATAAATAAATGGCGGAATAGATATGGGGTTAATCGTACTAAGCATCGCCAGCTTGGTGAGACTTAACTTGTCCATTGTAGGCAGTCTGGAGGTGAATTTGAGCCTAGATACAATCAATTTCTCAAAGAGACTTACGGTGTCCATCTTGAAGGCATCATCACTGTCCCGATCGACTTGATGGCTAATGTGGATGTTAACCAGATTATGATTTGGGGGAATGTCTGTTCCCCGGGTGGGAAATCTGGCATCACTTGTAGTCATAACTGACAGTGTGGCATCGTAGCTGCTTGGAGAGTCATGGTTGCGACCTCCAACAATGCGCATTCGAGCGTTCAGAAGCTAGATATAACCAATGTATCACTTTTTTTGACAAGATCCCCAATCTGGGTTTGACTTACCGCAAGCAAACTGTTGGAGTAAAGCTTTGACAACATTCTAGCTGGACACATGTAGAAGCTGTCATTTCTGAATGCGACAAACATTGCCAGCCTGACCATTCAAATCAAAAGAATAGAACAAGGACATGAAGGTGAGCTTACTCGATGATGGCAACAGCGCTGCACACGAAAGCTGTTTCAACCGCCAAGCGTACAAACTTAGTCAAGAGAGAGTTCGTTGATTTGAAACCAGTTCGCGAAGACCACAATATGTGCACCATACACGAAGTAATTATCGTATCAACCAAAGCAGTTGACCCCAGCCAGACCTAAATATAGATAATGATAATTAAGTCTGAAACTAGACAAATGGTTAAAACCCACTGAATATTGTTTATAAAGATGTGGTGGGAGGCCCGTAAAATGATTGAGAATTTTCGCATATACGCCAACCCATATCGCAGCTCCACAGCCCACAACAGATACCTAGAATGACTATTTAAAAAGCCAGATACCAAATCCATAACAACCTACCAGGGAGACTAGGGCAGGAATATGCCATTTTCTACCAGATAATATGTAG